ATGATGTTAATAGCAGTGGAAAATGGGAGGAGCTGAGGCAATATATGGGAACTCTATGTACTTTCCACTCATATTTCTGTAAACCTAAAATTGAAAACAATAAGTCTATTAATTTTTTAAAATGTCATTTGTAATCCTACCACATGGGAATAACCATTGTTAATGTTTGAGAGGACAGCCCTGCGGTCATTTTTTAAATATGGGTTTCTATTTACTTAGTGAGAGTTTGCTATTTCTGTAATTTAGCTCCTGCTTCCTCTCTCAATGAACACCTTCTCAGAGATGGCTGCAGTTCCAGCCCAATGTGTTCCTGGGATTCGTCATGTGTTCTTTTATATTAAAATATATGTGTATTATATTCTATATACACACGAATAAGTATATTATACATTTATAGACTTTTGCATAGTACTTCTGTAATTTTATTAATATGCATGTTGTACACATTATATACTTTCACATGTCTTTATAGTTTTGTATGTATGCAATCATATACACATAATTTCCATTTGGAATCTTTCTCAAAATACTCATTTCTAGCTTCCTTTTTTCTACTTCCGCTGCGCCTGCCGTCTCTCTGCCTTGGCAGCACTTTATGTCTCTCTTTTTATCATCTCAGTTTAGCCTTTTGTCTTCCCTGGTGTAAGTGGCACTCCCAGCTACCCTGAGTGTTCTTCTTTTAGGCAGTGGAGCATGGTGGTTATGAGCATGGGCTCTGAGATGGACTTTCTGGGTTCAAATCCCATCATCACCACCTGACAACCTAACCTTCGGCTGGTTACTCAACATCTGTGTGCCTCTTACCCTTGGAGGTAAAATAACAGTCAGAATAGTCCTTACCTCAAAGGTTGTTGCCAGGACAAAGCTAGCCAATCATGTAAAGTGTTTAGAATAGGGCTTAGCAAATAGAAAGAACTCCGTGTGTATTAACTAATCATTTTTAAGGATAATACAAAAATGCCACTTTTAGGACTCTTAAAGAGCTATGCTTATTTGAGGCAGTCTGCATGTACACTTCTATTGTGCATATAAAGTGAAGTTGAAAAAGAATGTTAACTACAAAGTCTTCCAGGGAAGTCTTTCTTTGTCTCTCTGATGCCCTTTTCTAATTCCTGCCACAGACTGCGCATTTCTTTTAGAAGTTAGGTCAACAGAAGACCTAAACTTGATACTGGGACTATTTGCTCTCTGTCGGATCAACTGTAGGAGTGAATTCCAGAGCTAAGGGCATGGTCCAGACACCCAGTTTTCTTTTTTATTCATAATGCAAACTTGTTGGCACTGGCAAGAAGTCCTGCCTTGTTCGATCAAACCTGCGTGGGTCATAGGAATGGAATGGTCATGGAATCAAAACTCAGGTTCTCAAGCTTTAAATCTGAAAGGGGCTTATTAAATTAAAATCCCATACATGGACTGATTCTGAATAACTTATTTGAAAAACCCAGCCAGTATAAATTAGCAGTATGGAGTAAATATTGTGTATAATCAACACTGTCTTCATCAGCTCATGCTGCTATAACAAAAAACCACAAACTGGGGTGCCTTACACAGCTGACATTTATTTCCCACAGTTATGGAGGCTGGGGAATCCAAGATCAAGGTGCTGTACACTTGGTTCTTGGTCAGGGGACCTCTTTCTGGCTTGTAGATAGCTCCCTTCTCACTATATCCTCACAGGACTTTTCTTCTGTGCATGCTCAGAGGATCTCTGTCTTCTGTTCTTATAAGGACACTAATCTCATCCTGAGGGCCCCACCCATATGACCTCATCTAAACCTAATCACCTCCCAAAGGCTCCATCTCCAAATACCATCACCTTGGGGATTAGGGCTCCAACATATAAATTTATGGGTAACACAAACAACACATAATAAACCCTAATAAAGAAACCAAACTTTCTGTAATATTTCATGCTAATGTTGTGGAGTCCATCACCTGAAGACTGCCAAAACCTAGGTGAGAGCAGAGTGAATTTCCACAAGTTATGAAAAGAAATTCATTGAAACTCATTCAATATTTGACTTGAATATTCAGTAGCACTCTGTGTATTTTTTGTACCGGAGTCTCGTGATCATTTCTTTATTTTTTTAATTTCAGAATATTAAAGAGGTAGAAACGTTTTTGTTACATGGATAATGCTTGTATAATGTATAATGCTTGTATAATGCTTAAGTTGGGGCTTTTAGTGTGCCTGTCACCAAAATAGTGTTCATTGTACCCGATAGGTAAGTTTTCACCTCTCACCCCCTCCCACCCTCCCACCTTCTTGGTTTCAAAGTCCTTTACACCTCTTTGTGCCCGTGTGTGCCCATCGTTTAGCTCCCAATTATTAGAAAGTACAAGTGGTATTTGTTTTTTCATTCCTGAGATACTAAGGATAAAAGTCTCCAGTTGCACCCAAGTGGCTACAAAAGAAATTATTTCATTCCTTTTAATGGCTGAGGAGTACTCCATGGTATACATACACCACATTTTCTTTATCCACTCATGAATCGATGGGCACTTAGGTTGATATCACATCTTTGCAATTGTGTGTGAACTGTGCTGCAGTAAACATTTGAGTGCAGGTGTCTTTTTGATAAAACAACTTATTTCCTTTGGATAGATACTGAGAAGTGGGATTTCTGGGTTGAATAGTAACTCTATATTTATTTCTTTGAGGAATCTCGATACCGTTTTTCATAGCAGTTATACTAATTTGTGGTCCCATCGACACTGTATAAGTGTGCTCTTTTCATCACATCCGTACCAACATCTATCATTTTATGACTTTTTAATAATGGCCATTCTGACAGGGTAAGGTGGTATCTCATTGTGGGCTTACTTTGCATTTCCCTGATGATCAGTGGTGTTGAGAATTTTTTCATGTGTTCGTTGGCCAGTTGTCCATCTTTTGAAAAACTTTTGCTCATGTCCTTTGCCCACCTTTTAATGGCGTTGTTTTTTTCTTGCTGATTTGTTTGAGTTCTTTGTAAATCCTGGATATTAGCCCTTTATCAGATGTATACTTGGTGAATATTTTCTCCCATTCTGTAGGTCATCTATTAACGCTTTTGATTATGTCCTTTGCTATTCAGCTTTTTAATTTAATTAAGTCCCATTTATTTATTTCTGTTGTTGCGGTATTTGCCTTTGGGGTCTTAGCCATAAATTCTTTGCACAGGCTGTTGTCTAGAAGAGTTTTTCCTATGTTTTCTTCTAGAATTCAGCTCAAAGATGACTCTACCAGAGATACTTGCCATGACTTTCTTCTGTGTCATAGACCCCTCCACCCCACATGCCAACCCTGCACTTTCTGTCGCCCTCAGCACTCTTTGTTTTCTTCATATCATTTGTCACCTCCTGATATACCATATATTTTCTTGTATATTTGTTTATTTTCTTCCTCCTCCCATGAGACCAAGGATTTTGTTACTTCCATATCCCCTGTTCCTGGTACTGTGCCTGGAGAGTTGAAGTCACACAATCGATATTTGATAAATGAATAATTAGTTATAAAATCTTATATTCACAGATTTAAAAAAAAGAGGGGTGTTTTAAAAATTAGTTTATATATCATAGTCCCATGAAAAAATAAATGGCGTACCTAAAACGAGTAATCTAAAAATAATTTAATCGCATGACCATTTCCCAAAGAGGAGGGCAAGGATCTGGGAACCCCCAGGCGTAGCAAGGTGCCCTGAGGCGAGTGAGAGTGGGCACCATCACCACGTCTAGGCCTGAGGGGCACAGGGGACCAGAGCTAGCTGAGCCCCAAGAGTGAGCCAGGGCCCCCAGCAGGCACTCTGACCTTTAGTCAGGGGGGGTGCACCCAGCTCTGGAAACCCTGACGGGCACCAGGGCGATAAATGCCTGACCAGCTCTGTTCCTGCCCTCCACGCTCCTTCCTGCATCCCCCCTTGGCTGACCCACCAGAAGCCAGAGTGCAGGGAAACATCAGATGCAGTTCACTCTAGTCAGCTCCTGGGACCGGAGCTGGGTGGAGCCGGGTGCAGCGTGGACCTCCAGGGCGACATCCGCTGTTGCAGCAGTTTTTATATTCATCAAAAGTGCTGGTGGGGAGGGCTGTTTTAAAAATAATCATGAAACTATTTCTGTGTGGCTGTGAGACTATCAGTGAAACAGAGTCCCAGTCAAATACCAGAGTCTGTGTTTGGGGTTTACGATGTCAAACTATGGAACTAAATGTTTGTTAACAGTTTTACATAATAATTGCGTTTTTAAATAATTTAATTATGCCATGTTCATTATTTAGTGTACCTTTCGACTACATTAAAAAATGAACCATTGAGACTGATAACACTATATAGATATAATATTATGTACTATGTGTTATTGTTATTCTGCGAGGGGAGGGAGGAAGCCACAGAAATATACATTACAGCTGGTAAATGCATTTATCAATTCTAAAGGAACAGCTATTTTTAAAAGTGTTGAACAATATATTATGTGTATTGTTATATTTTTAATCGTGACTTGTCCAAAAGAAACACATTTTGGGTGAAAAGAGCAATAGAGTAGATAGACATTTGAGGATCTGAGTTCTAATCCTGACTCGACCAGGAAGGGCCTCTAGCAAGTAAGTTTGACTATATGAGTGGGAGTTTCCTCATGTGTAAGTAAGAGATGGGACAAGACAATCTTTGAGGTCATCTCCACTTCTCAAATTCTACTCCATGAGAAGGTGTTATTCTGTGCCAACAGAAGAAAGTTGGACCTCAAGGAACTGTGTCAGTAGCACTTACTGAAGAAAAAACAATAACTGGAGATAAAAGCCATGTCAGGTTTTGTTTCTGGATTTAAAAATTTCACTGGCCCAGAGCCTGCATGCTTTATACCCACTTCTTTCCCCTGTTCCCCTTTTCCTTACTCTGTTATTCTGAAAGAATATGCAAGAGGGAAAAAATAGTCATTAGAGAAATTTTAATTGCATAGAATTGTTTCAGAGATAAGAAGCTCAGGCAAAAATGACAGTGACTGTGATTGTGTTTTCTCTTTAGAATCTACTGTATTTATTCCCCAGTCCGAATACTCCATTGAAGAAGATGTTGGTGAACTCTACATTCCTATCAGGAGAAGTGGAGATATCAGCCAGGAGTTAATGGTGATCTGTTACACCCAACAAGGTAGCTCCATTTGCAAAAAAATAAAACCAAAAATACCCCCCAAACGATATCAATAAGCCTCTTATGTTGGAGCCATAGCATTTTGCCATGAGGGGTATACTTTATTATTAAGTTGTTCAAAAATACATTTATCCAGAAGTCTTTGTTCAGGATTGCACCTTTGAGGACTCCTCCCAGGGAGCCCAGAAGGACTCTGCTGCCACTTACCTCAAGTTTTTCTGACTTCACTTGGTCTCTTACTGTGATACTCAAGTCTTTTCTGGGTTACAAGGAACTAAAGCCCACCCAGGCCTGCTCAGGTAGAAAGGGGTTACTGTTTAAAAGAAAAGAGACAAAGGGATACTAGTTTGAAACTCATTTCAAGAAAGTATCAAAATATTTGTTTTGCTCATTGGTAAGCATCCTATGAAAGGTGATTTTATGTAATGCGAAATTAAATTACTCCATAATATTCATTGATATACTAAGCACCTTTCTAGCAAGTAAGTAGATTTTATAAAAATGCAAAAGATAAAGTTGGATGTCCTGTTGGTATCTGAGCAGACTTCCATTAAAATTTCCATTAATATGTATATGATTCAAAAGGCAGTACAGATTAAAAACAGATTTCAGGGTCAGCCTTGGGCTCTGGGTCCCAGAGCAAATGGTTTAACTTCTGTAAGTCTCAGTCTTACCAAGTATGTAAAATGCAGTAGAGTGCTTGAGAGGACTAATGAGGCAAGTATGTAAAGTGCTTGGCGCTTTGCCTGTATCTAGTAAGCATGTGAATAGTAGGAGGTATTATAATAGTAGGAGGTATTATTTTGTAATATTCTGTTGACCTAAAAGTCCATTGGCAGGAAAGACAGGAGAAAACATTAGCCATTTAATATTCTTCATAGACTTGAGGTCTTCCGAAGTTGACTCAGGATACTAGAACAGTACGCAGTGGCTATTGCAATTGCAGGGGTGTTCATGTGCAATAATTAACCTTCACAATGCTGCATTTCTGGACATACCCCTGTAATACGTTCTACATAAAAACCTTTTGGATTCTCTCCGCCTCCAGGAACGGCAACCGGAACTGTGCCCACTTCAGTGTTGTCTTATTCTGATTACATATCCAGGCCTGAGGATCACACCAGTGTTGTCCGCTTTGACAGAGGTGAACGCGAGAAAATGTGCCGCATAATTGTCATTGACGACTCCCTGTACGAAGAGGAGGAGACTTTCCAGGTCCTTCTGAGCATGCCCACGGGCGGGAGGATCGGAGCAGAGTTCCCAGGGGCTCAGGTTACGATCGTCCCTGACAAAGATGATGGTAAGGACTAATTTTCCTGAAAATTCTTCTTCTTACCAGAAAGATCAACATTAGGCACAACTTTCTAGACAGAAAAATGGAAATCTGAAAGAATTATAACATGCACATTTATTTTATGCTTGATTTTGTAGTGAAATTAGGTTTCCAAGTTGGCTGCATGAATTTGTCTTTCTTGAAATAATGTTTTAAAGGGCAAAAGTCACACTTACGTGTTTTGTCCTCTGTGCAGTTCCTTTGACAGTGTCATTTACCGTGATGTGATTAAACTTAAAACGTCGTGGTGAGGCGTTGAAGCAATTTTGATAAACTTCATTTATTTCCTTTTTGTTTGGTTTGGTTGGATTTTCTTTTGTTGTTTTGTTTTGCTTTTAAAAGCTTATATTTTATGACTTTATTCTCAGTGTTTGAACCTGTTTTTCAAAGCAACCCATCAGACAAGACTGTTAAAGGGATAACTAGTAAATATATGGAAAATTAAGTCCAACGGGCAGTTCCTTGCTCAAGAAAAGGAGGGGGTATGTGATAGATCATTTTTCCCACCAGGAAAATCAAATTACCATGAATTCATCCCTCCCTCCAGAATAAAAAAGGGACCAAAGGGATCCTAACATTCCCAGTTTAAAAAATAGTTTGTGCTTTTTTGTGAGGATAGAGAGAGCAAAGGAAAGAGTGTAAATGATCTTGCGAGGAAGGCAGAGAACAGTAAACTGACAGCTAGGATTCCCCAACACGGCACTGTTTTTCTTTCCGCCTTGAAATGTTCCTCCTGGTAGATGAAAGAGGAAGGACCTGGGGAGTGAGTCTTTGCATCAGAGAGAATCTGGAGGGCAATCAAAAGACTTTAATCCCAAGTAATCTTAAAACTTGGGAAGTTGAAAATAATCTACCAGGAAAGATCTTTGATACTTAAGTGACGAAGAACATTTCTTGTAGGGCCAGTCTAGTGATGATAAATTCCCTCAACATTTGTTTATCTGAGAAAGACTTTATTTCTCCTTCATTTATGAAGGATAATTTTGCTGGATATGTTATTCTTGGGTGGCAGGTTTTTTTTCTTTCAGCCCTTTGAATATGTCATCTCATTCTCTCCTACCCTGTAAGGTTTTTGCTCAGAAATGCACTTTTAGTCTGATGCGGGTTCCTTTATAGTTGACTAGACAATTTTCTCTTGTTCTTTTTAGTATCTCCTCTTTTGCTTTGACTTTAGACAGTTTGACTATAATGTGCTGTGGACAAGACTTGTTTGCATTATATTCGTTTGGGGATCCTCGAGCCTCCTGTTTCTAGTTGTGTAAGTCTCTTGCTAGACTTGGGAAATTTTCATCTAAAATTTTGATAGGGAGGTTTTCCAACGATTTCATTCCCTCTTCACCCTGAAGGACACTGATAATTCAAATATTTGGTGGCTTTATGTGTCCCAAATGTCACAAAGGCTTTGTTCATTCTTTTTTATTCTTTTTTCTTTTTGTCTGACTGAACTATTTCAAAAGACCTGTCTTCAAGTTCTGAGAGTCCTTCTCTGCCTGATCTAGTCTATTGTTGAAGTTTTTGAATGTATTTTGTGTTTCATTCAATGAATTCTTAAGTTTCAGAATCTCTGTTTGGTGTCATATTTCTTTGCTTTTCATGTTTCCCGTGTCCTCACATTGATATCTGTGCATGTGGTTTAGCAGTTGCTTCTTCTACTTTCATGAATTTGCTTTCATGGGGGACAACTTTTTCCTGAAGATATATTTATGGTATTGGTTGGGTAGGGCACTCGGCTTTGATTTTGGGTGCATGCAATAGTGTAATCTCTGTATGATTTCTTCAGCTGTAAACAGCATCAGTGGCATCTATGGTTTTTCAGTGGCTTAGGGTGCAGTTATTGGAGGAGGCGGTGGTGGGGACCAGCATGCCAAGTAGCCAGTGTTCAGGCCCCAGTGGTGGCAGCAGTGGGCTGAGTCTGCCTGTCCTCGTGCCCCGTGGCAGTGTACACTGGTACCAGTGTTAGTAGGTCCGGGAGGGTCAATGCTTGGGCTCCTAGGTGGCTTGCATGGATGTTGGTAATGGCAACAGTGGCCTGGCCATGTGGGTGGGTTCCCAGTTTCCCTAGGCATCAGGTACGATGTAGATGATGGCAGTAGCCATGGTGGAGCAACCCACTGGAATCCAAGAGGTCCATGCTGGTGTCGGGATTGGCTATGATAGGTAGCAACTGGTGATGTGTGCAGGTGGGTGCCAGCTATAGTGGTATCAGCTGGTTAGGTCAGCCCAACCTCAGACCCTGGGAGGAGTGTTCAGGTGCCAGCATTGGTGGGCTGGGCTGGGTGATACCCAGACCCCTGAACAGTGTGCTGAAGTACTGGGGGGATGGGACCAGGTTTGCAGACTTGTCCTAGCTCCCCTGGCCTTAACGCACTATCTGTGATAGACAGGAGCAGGATGGTCTCCAGGGTGCCAATAGCATGCTCAGGTGTGGGCAGTGGCTGCTGTGCTGTGGGCCTATCCCCAGGACGGATGGGGCCACTCTGAGTGGGAGCAGGTAGGCAGGTAGCTGTAGGACACATCATTTCCTCACACCTCAGTCCCACAGCAGCCCACGGCAATAGCAATGGGATTTTTCCCAGGGGTAGATGGGAGTACCTGATCTCCTCTATCCCTGCTTGGCCAGGCATCGTCGGCCCCAGGGCAGAACGAAGTTTGCTGGGGGCTTGGTTCTCAGAATGGCACCAAGCCGCAGCTGCTCAGGGCTCAGACGCCTGTGCGAGCCAGCGTGATTTTCCTCTCTGGAGCAACGTCTCTGTGCAGTCTCTGGGTAGCTCCCCATGTTAGTCTCAAGGCCACGTGAGCTGAGGAGTTCTCCCTTAGCTAGGATGCTAAAAGATCATGGTGGGAGTGTGCAGTCCTGGGGGATCTCTCATTTACCTTTTCCCTGCATCCGGGAGCTTCTCCCAGCTCCCAGCCGTTTCCAGCCCAGCAGGCTGCCTTGCTTCCCTGATCCCCTTTGCTCTCGGCGCTTCCCACCACTTGTCTGTCCAATCCCAGCATTCTCTCTCAGATGATCTATTCAAAGTGTGAATATCTGCTTGCTATTTTGGTTCTTCTCCCTGGAGGAGGTGCATATTAGCTGCATGTAATCAGCCATCTTGAACCCTACACCTCCCATTCTACCTTGTAACTTTGTAACTCAGGGCAATGTGAATTTTAAAAAGTGAATCGATTCTCCAAAGGTAGATTATTTCTCAATGAAATTATATTTAAAAAAATGATGTTTTTGTGCCTGCAGAGTGGGCCACTAGTGACTTCCCTTAAGCGGAAATATCTGAAAAGCCCAGCAGGGTCCAAAGGTTTTCTCTGCTCTGATTAACTCTTAACTTCATGCAAGTAGGGCAGGGGCTCTAGAAGTACAGAAATACATCTTGATCAAGTCTGTGCTGCAGCTTCAAGAAACTGCTAAAATTTTCATTGTGTTTGGAAGAGAGCAGCGTGTTACACATGAGCAACACAATTAACATTAAGAATGATGCTTTTATTTTTGGGCAGATATCTTAATTATTTTACATAAATATCTTTAGTCCTCAGTACTTCAGTAAGGTTATAATTTAATATTGCAATATTGGTTCATTCGGGCCAGTATCAAGTCAGTGTTGGCGATATTGTGCTAATCTTTGCTGTCAGTCTTTGGAAGGTAATTAGGGAGCATTCAAGCTAAATCTATTCTCTGCTTTTTGTGTGACAGCCTGTAGGGGTTTTAGCTAAAGTGACTGACTTCCTTGACCGCCCTGGAAAAATTACCATACTACATATAAGCCAGGGACATTTAAAGGGCAACCTGGTGAGCCCTGTGGTAAATGTGACTCAATTCAATACCAATCAAAAGCTTACTGACATCAGAAAAGCTTTCTCAACAGCAGGAGTAGCTTAGAGAAGAAAACGTTTCTAGTGCTAGAAAACGCCACATGGTATGGTGGGTGTGTGGGTGAGATATTTTGTATTCACTTGTGCTGAACTGAAAGACCTAATCACCCTCCTTTTTCATCTTGAATACAATTATTTGCATCAGCATAAGCTTCAATTAAGTAATTCCAGAAGTCATTGTAAGGTTAGCCAGATTCAAGTAAAGTAACAACTTGACAAAACTAAGTTACCGTCTGTAGTTTGCTTGAGTTAGGACAATATTAAAAATCAAGAGAAATGAGTTTCTAATTGCTCAGAATATTAATGCACTGCAGTCACTAGTAGACTATTTAATATAGTTGATGATGCTAAGGAGTAAGTGAAAGTTAATGGTGAGTCCCTACTCTGTGCAAAGCATTGCAGGAGTTCACGAATAATAGAAATTATAGTAGTTTTTCCACATGAGAAGGATACTAGATAAAGTGATGTAAATATTAAACTCTGAAGACTAAAATAAAATAAAACAGCATATATAAAATATCTTGCCACTTAAAAAATACCTAATGTCAAATACCACACACGTGCAGCAAATGTTGGCTGTGCACCTACTAAATATAATATGTGAGGAATACAAAGACATTTAAACCTTAGGCCAAGACCTCACAGTACTTAAAATCTACTTGGGAGAAAAAACTAAGTACATAAAAGGTTAAATAAGAATAATTTATTTTAATAAGAATTTAAAACAATGAAACAGGCTCAGAAGGCAGAGTGCAATTAAAAGCAGTTGTATGAATCATTCCATGAGTCAGAGGAGGAACCAATGAAGCCTTTAAAAGATGAAAAGGATTTAGATGAATGGAGAATAAGGCCAAATAGTCCAAGATTGCATGAGTGAAAGGCTTTTGGAAGCAGTGGGCATTGAAGTTTGGCCAGGCTTCCTTTTTATCTGAAAGGTTTAGTGCCCAGCTCCTGAATTCTAGAGATATTTTTGGTACTTTCAAGTCAACAATTCTTAATCAATCTACCTTTCTTCTTCGGCCTCTTTTCCTCATTAGAAGCATGAGCATGTTATCACCTGAGTTTCTTACCTTACAGATTTCTGTGAGGACCAAATAACA